AATTGCACATGCACGGTGTTCCACCGATAAGCATTCTTCGTGGTAACAGAGCGAAGAATAGCAGGGCAGTGAGTAAATGCCGCCACAGTTCGGTATGGATTTGTATATCGTGAGCCTCGAATAAAATGGTATTCCTGAATCCTGCACAAAACAAGGGAATGCAAACCTAAGCACAATCGAATCGTTGTCATCTGTGAAGGCCTGAAATACTGGAAGAGAAGGACATTTAGCGAGCGTGTTGCATTCATCTTAGGCGATTCCAAGATTGCAATGTCGCCCGGATCAAGGATTGTAGATACAAACTGGCCGTTAGTTGATGCTGGAATGATAACGCTATGTTCGAAGGAGTGTCTCGGTAAAAGTCCACTTCAGTTCCTATCTCGGGCCTTTTGTAATTCCCAGAGTACGCTTACTCGCAAACTTCAGCAAGTCTTTCTTGTTTATTTTTCTTTTGAGGTGGACAGATGAGCGTACCATTCAGCATCAATCAGGGGCACCATCAAGCACGAATTTTGATAAAGCGTTTTTCCTTTATCAAATCACTAGATGGGGCTTTTGTTTACAGCGGTAAAACACCGCCCAAGCAGAGATTAGGAGATTGGTAAATATTGCCCCCATCGTTGTTTCAGTAAAGTGTATGCCAAGTGGCGATCATTGGTTGTTCGACTATTCAGATCACGCCCATCCAGCATTTCTGCGAATGTTCGCATCTGCCAGACTATGGAAAATTTGAAAACAAGGCAGGTTCTATGTAGACAGCCAAAGGCGACAATGATAGAAAGCCCTAATTTCTGCTGAGTACCTTCAGTTCATCGAGATTGGCGGGTGGGAGGTGACCGTTCGCACCGCGCGGCAGTGTGGGTCTTTCCCGCGAGCGTGTTCTCTAATCATTCTCTTGTCGTCAGGCCTCGAGGCCCTGCCTTCCAGCCGCCAATCCCGATGAAAAGGGTATTCCCATAGTAAGCTTGCATGCGAATAAAACGTACTCGGCCGTATATCACTGGTTCCAGTAAGAGGGTAGCCGTAACCACGATTTCGCAAGGTCCACGGTTTTTTTGTTAATCCATGATTAAGATAACTGCAAGCGTTTTCTGAAAATAAGTTCACGAATATAATTCAAGGAACAAATAGTTGAGCGAATACTTCAGTATAAGTGTTTACCATCAAAATTGCAGTTGAGAGAATCGCAGTAATTCTCATGGACTGGCTCTTCAGTTGTAAATCGCGTCGGGGTTACCCAGCGGAACGGAGGTCTTCTGAAAGCCCTCATTTTGATCAAAAATTCATGCCACCGCTCTACCAGCTTACACAGTAGTAGACCTGCTTATGGTCCTTTCTTTGGGAATGCTTGGTCGAGAGGTGGTTGAGATAATCCGCCTAAAGCAATCAAAACACTCTGTTGCTTTTCCTCAAAAAAGAGCAATATTACGTTGGGTAAGTCTTCTTCTTGGGATACGGGTCCTTCGTTGATGGTTTGACAACGTGGACGGTTGGTAGGCTTATGAGTCTTGGTTGCGGCCAAATCGTTTTCCTTGTTGCCGTTATGATTAAAGGAGGTTGTGTTCGCTCTTCAATGGGTTCTGGCACCACCTCGGTAGAGCGAGGTGTGGTTACTAGGGTAGTCGGTGACAAGGTACTGGTCGCAGATGTTCGCGGTTTCTCCACTTGGGCACATTCGCCTATGTAAGCGATCTCATCGATAACAAGAAAACGATTTTTTAGTCCTTTCTCCCAGTGAGGCACAAGATTAAGCTGAAACAATCATGAACAAAATTACAAAGAGGGCACTTTCTTCGTGTATTTACCGTGAAGGGTTCCTTGAAGCTGTTTGTCAAGTCGAACACGGCCAAACGGCTTTCGTGTTTCGTGCTGGCCCCCTGGTCGATGCATTCGATCAGCTCACTATCGACACCTGGAGCAAACACCAACATCATCTGTTTTTTTTTGTTGCTTTACTGTAAACGCGTCAGACA